AGATCATATAGGTAGAGTATGTTGGGTATGTCAAGTGTATATAGTTTATAGCCTTAGGGCTCATGCTTACAGATGCCTGCACCCGTAAAATGTAAATACTGGTGTATTTTCCCTGCGACGGTGTTGTGCACAGCCTCCCATAGAAGTCAGTGGCTATAGGTGGGTATACACTGGTACATCGTTGTAGTTGCATACGCCAGGGTGCAGAAGAGCGTATACCCGCCTACAGCCGTTACCTTATTGGAGGCTCCCTGGCGAGAGAAGTACACTGGTATTTTACATTTTTTTTGATGCAGTCACCTATGTGCAAGATCCCATGTATTGTACATCTATAGGGATGTCAGGGTACAATACTTATTACACTGCAACTGATCATGTGATATAGTAACAGAACTTCCTGCTTAGGTTTCTGCAGGTCCCCTGGAATGGCCTATCTCTATATCTAGAGTACAGAGGAAGGGCAGGTATAGTAATATATAATTTCCCACAATGTGTATATAGCTATACTGGAGGGATTTGAGTTTCTGTACTCAACTGGAGATTTGAAAACGTTTCAAGTATCCTGATTTTGCAAATCTCTTCCTGCGGATTTTGGCCGTTTACAGTGAGGAATAGAACACGCAGATTGCCAGTCCTGCTGCTTGCAGATGGCACTGAGGACAAGGTGAAAGGATGCGTGTTGAGATGAGCTTGTGAGACGAGCTGCAACTCTTTATGTGAGAACATGAAGTACAGCCCAGAGCTGAAGTTCGGCGTCATTCCCTGAAGGGGTGCCATGAGCTCATCAAACTGGGCTTCTAATACCTTATTAATGGGTAGCTACAGTGCATTTTCAGAAAGTTGTAAAGAGATCCTGTTGCCGAACCATTTAAAAAGATGTCTGGGCATACTAAATGTTAACCCTTGCAGTGGGGCTACCCCTGCACTCCGCAAAGGCTAACTGCTTGTTTTGGTCTACAGTCTTAAATAAAAAATATATATATATATATATTCGCCTGATCCATGTTCCTGCCAGGCTGCTAGACCGGTCACCACAGCATCTGTTCCTGGCTCTGGCAATCTCCATTGGACGTGAGGACGCCAGGTTACATTCAAATGTCAGAGCGGTCACCGCCGTAGGACCAAGGATCTGGTGAGTATATCTTTACCCTAACCCAAATACAAGCAATTTGAACTGTAAGAAGTATACATATATGTATATGTGTGTGTATATATATATATGTGTGTGTGTGTGTGTATATATATATATGTATGTGTGTGTGTGTTATGTATATATATATACATTTTTTTTTTTTTTAGCTGATGCTAAGTGACTGGGAACATGTAACGCATATAAAATAGGTGTTATCCCAATTATGGCTGCAAAAGTAGAAATACACTTTAAGAAATGTCTAAGGAAATCTTGTGGGCAGGTAAAGGATTAGAGTTGATAAGATTTTCTAATTTTCACTTGTATTCAGCGCTGAAAGCCCCGTGCTGGGAACTGAGCCGACCTTCCAGTGCTAAAACCGAACATACCGGCACATAGATTATTAAAACATTTACTGACATTGTGCAGTCTGGAGTATTTCTCAGAACTATACCAGCATGTAGCCAATCAGAATATTTTCACAAAACCCAACATGTAGCCAATCCGTGCATTCAATATGATAAGGACTAGACCCCAGGTATGCAAATTGAGGATCTGAACTATGCATAGGAATTGGTTAACAGTTCATTCTGGTTTACAAGATTGGTAGAACTTCATTTTTATATTGTAGGACTGTTGGGATCTGTTGTGTGAAAGAGAGCTCTCCGAGACTCTTATCACGTCGGGATAAAATGCAGTCAGCACGGTTTTATTAAGCAATAATGTTCAGGAAATCGGACTTGGGAGTGACTTTTATATTTTGGTAGATTTGGTTTTCATCTGCTGGATACAATGTCATCATTGTTACTTCAATTTCCTGCGAATAACAAGCTTGTGTGTATTAGTCATTGGTGAAACACACTGGTGTTAGTCATTGGTTTTCTTCCTATCTGGTCCACTTCTTTGTATTTCAGTTGAGTTTGTTTTTCTTACTAATAATATCCTGAGCTCTCTGGAAACTCCTGACGTATGACCTTATCCAAATCTCCTAAACTTACCTCGTTATCGCTGCTCGCTCCCGCGCCGAGAATCAGGAAGTGATCGTGCCGCAAAGGATCTTGGGGCGGACGCATGCGCAGTTCCGATTCTCGGCCGGGAGACTAGCAGAGACGCAAGGTAAGTCTATGGACGCGTGCACCCGCCTGCAGACACCGCTGGATCGGAGAGATGGAGCAGTCAGCGCTGGATTGGAGTGACGTCGCACTGCTGGAGGGACACATGAAAACATGGGGAAAGAAGAGGAAGATCAGAATAAGAGACATCATTTGAGGTAAGTGCTAACATTTACATGGGGGGGAGGGGGGAAAAATTTGGCTTTAACGCCACTTTAAAGTTGAACTCCAGATTAAAAAGTAGCCTTGGACCTGTAAAAATTGAAAAACAGCTTTGCTGCAATATTTTTTCAATCCAGAGCTGTCCTCTGCAACACTACTTCTCAACCACTACAGTAGATGTCACCAGTTTTCCAGGTTGAAAGATGGCCAACTTCCTGTCTGCGAGCCCGATCTGTCCTGCAGGAAAATGCCTTTCCAGAAATCCAGTGAGCTTACGAGTTCTTGTGCTTTCTGCCGTGTGATCGTGGTCATTCCTTTATGACCATAGCGTGCCCACTACTCTGGCACATGTGACTAGGTCATGTGACCATGCACCTCATCTCAGAGGAGGATAATGTCTTTCCCGGAGATCTCGGATGAGATTTCCCAGCAATGTACTGCTGATGTAACCTTCCCAGGATGCAACACTTGGGCACATTACAGCACTTTAACCAAAGAGGACCAGGAAGTGGAAAACGGAGTAAAATTAAAATGTTTAATGAATGTAAGATTTCATATTAGCATGCAGCGATTTAAGCCAAGGGGGATAAAGGTCCACTTCCAAATAGAAAAGGCACCTTTTAGAAATTTGTAAAGATCTGGGTAAAGTTCCTGTTTAAGGCAGTTTTGATGGGGGTCATACCCAGTACTAGCAAGGTGTATCTAATAAAGTGGCCAGTGTGTAGGTACATTCAGAAGCTGCCTTCAGCCAGGGAATTTGAACTCTGAGATCTAATGAGTCATCCGACAGCAGATGCAAAGGAAGTGTTCAAAGTGTATATCTGCAAACTATCTTCATTTACCTTGAGATAAGAGTCAAGTGCTCTGACCACTTTGCTCTCGGAGTTTAAAAGAACTGTGGGGTAAGTGTTTTCCCCCATATTTTTTTTAGGGTCACAGGAGGATATATACTAACCACCTACCGTGACCCAAACCTCGGTATATAGCGGGCTATTGGCCGCGATATACTGAGAGCGCCGCAGCGGGGACAGATCACGACAATACTGTCGAGATCCACCAAGCTGCGTGAGTGACAGCTGGCTCTGCCTAGCTAGAGGCAGAGCCAGCTGTGCCTGTCCCCTCCCCTGTCTGTTCCTCCAGTCAGCGCTGGGGGATTGGGGAGGGGGGGAGCCGTGACTGACAGTCACCGCTCACTGCAGGGAGACTATCAGGAAGTGAGCGGATCAGCTGCATGTTTCTGCTCACTTACCAATCAACAGAGCCGGCCTGTAAGAACTTTTGTCACAGGTCGGCTCTAAGTATGAGTTTAAATCACTCACCTCATAGATCTCCTTTAGCTTGGGACTCCCACTCGAAGAATAGCCTGCATAAATAATTCAGCGGAAGTGAATACACTCTGGAAACTACCTTTTTTGTTACATTGTGTTCGCTGAGGAGAATGTTACATTGTGTTCGCTGAGGAGAATGTTACATTGTGTTCGCTGAGGAGAATGTTAACTGGGTTATCTATGCAAGCTCATATTACAAATTCCCAGAGTAACTATAGTGGTCTAGTACAGTTTACATTGCTCTGCGATTTAGTTGCCGCGCCCCGCCTTCCCCCCCCTTCCCCTGCACATTAAACATGGTTTCTTTCTGAGAGGACTGGTTCACACAAGCCACGTTGGGCTGTATTGGGCATCAATCCTTTGTATGGGCCCCGCTCAATGGGTTTTGTGCGTTGTGATAAAAGGAAGCGAGCATAATTTTATTGCAGTGCCTTACAATGTGTGACAACGCGCTGCAGCACATAGAATTTGCATATCAGAAAAAAAAGTGTGCACTGCAATGTTCTAGAAAAGCATTGCAGCCCACGGCAGTGCAGTCACTCCGCCCTGCAGCACACACTTTGTGCTGTACAATGCCATGCAGTGTGGTGTGAGCCATCCCTTAACTATGCAGTGGTCTTTCTTACATTTTTGTGTTTTTGGATTCGTGATCTTTTTTTTTTCTCTTATAGGTTGAAAACTGGTGTCCTCGGCTACCGTGGAGATCTGTAAACCGCAAAGAGGAGGAAGCTGATAAGCGAACTGTGGTAAGCTGGTTAAAGAGGATGATCATGAACTTGGAATTCCCAGCACATTGTTTTATTTTTTAATAAGTGGCGAATGGTTAGGTGTAGTGCACCATGAAATTTCATTTTTTTTTTTTGGACTAATGTCTTTATTCAACCTCAAATACTATGTAACTATGTAAATTTCTGCAAGATCACCAGTGCGGTGATCTTGCAGTAATTTTGACTGAGAAATTTCATTATTTTTTTTCCAAATCCTTACTCCGTGGCATTTAATTTGCACTGTGTACTATAAACAATTGCCGCTTTTTTTTCCCCATCATGCAAAGCTATTACTTTTTTAATGCATCTGTGCTGCTGGTCTCCTCCATTCCCTTACAGCCAGTTGCTGTCTAAATGCATTTGTTCCAGTGTCGGCTGCACATCATTGCTGTAGACAGGCTTTCTGATGGTGACAATGGAAAATTGTACCTACGCCATGGTTCTTGGCATGGCTACCGTACTTGTTGTCCCCACCAAGGCCAGTTTGCACCGATACCGGTATTTCGGTATTGAGTACCAATATTTTTTTCCCCGGTACTCGATACCGAGTACCGGAAGTCCCATTCAGGTGGCATGTAATGATTTGACACCTGGCTTCCTGATTAGCCGGGCAGCGTGTAAAGACCCGCCACCCGGCTTCCCAATTAGCAGGGAAGCCGTCCCCATGCTTCTCATCACTATGTGACAAAGCATGGAGCCGGCTTTCTTGCAAATCAGGAAGCCGGGTGCTGTGTAATGACGCGGCGCTCAGCTTCCCGATTGGCCATGAAGCCGGCTCTATGCTCCCTCGTCATGAGGTGACGAGGGAGCATGAAGCGAGCTTCCCGGCCAATTAGAAAGCCGGCCGCCGTGTCATTGGTCGGAAGCTGGCCAATCAGGGAAGTCAGGCGCCATGTAATTAGGAAGCCTGGCAGTGCGTCATTACACACTGCATGGCTTCTTGATTGCCCGGGAAGCCGGCTCCGTGCTCATCACAAGTGACCCTATACTTCCGGTATCAGGAAGCTGGGCAGCCTGTCATTACACGCTTCCCGCCTTCCTGATTGGCCGGGAAGCCGGCTCCATGCTCTCATCACTTGTGATGAGAGCATGGAGCCGGCTTCCCGGCCAATCGGAAAGCCAGGCAGCGTGTAATGACGCACTGCCTGGATTCCTAATACCGGAAGTATTGGGCTAGGCATCGGAGCATCCCTATATATTTGTTTAATTTGGATTCACTATTTGGAAAAAAGTTTAATACTACCTTAGTGCTTTGTTCTGCTTGTACCAGTGGCTCACACAGCTCTGTACAAAAAGGTTAAAAGAAAAATGACCGTTTCCCTTTTTAAATGGCGCACAGACATTTCCTCAGCAATTCCATTTTCTCCTACTTTCAGGCTGAAATCCGAACAGATTTTGAGCAACTCTACCTCGTCATGTCTAAACACGAGGAGTTCCGCTGGATGACGCTGAGGATAAAGAGGATGGATGACACCTGGATAGAAGCAATCAAGTCTTTGGCAGAGAAGCAGAATTTGGAGAAACGTAAAAGGAAAAAGGTACTTTTTCTCTCTCTAGGAGGCTTGGAACATTCTAAACAGCAGCGCTGCCTGCAATGCTGGCTTCAACCGTCCCCGCTGTGTAAAGACACGCGCGTTGCTGCCTACGTGACCCTGGAATAACTGGCGATTAAGTCTGACAAAAACAAGTCCCGGAGCGTTGGCACTTCGCCATTCTCAAAACGCTGTGGGCTCCGCTTGATTTTATGGCTTGCTTTTGTCATTTACTTTAACCTTACAGAGGCAAAGAGGCTGCGTTCATTTCTTCACAACCTGGAACTCCATGCATTATTTATGCTTCTACAATATAGCAATCTTCACAATGTTAGCTTAAAGCATAACCCTGCTTTTCCCCACATTTTAGGTTAATATGAATGTTTACACCAGGAGAGTGGAGAATAAAAATTGGCTTTTGCAGGTAGCTTTGAAAACAGCAAGCTGGCTGCTCAGGAGACACCTGTGTGTGCATGTTCCCGACTGCCAACACCTAGCTGTGTGCGTCCATGGACACACACAGCATGCGACAAGCCATGCATCTGCTCCCTCTACCACTCGGTTTGACTGAGGGCAGAAGGAACCACTTCTCTACCTTCAGTACCCTCCCCACAACCAGGGGATTGGAGGATATCTTTCCTGACCAAACAGTGGTGTGTGTTGTGGGGGGGAATCGGGGCTGGACAGTGGAACATGGAAAGGTACTGGGTGTTTTTTACCTTTTTAATGGGGGGGAGAGCGAGCTTAGGAATGTCTCCATGGGGCACACTAAACATGGGTGTAATGTGGAACTGGCCTTTAATTTCCTGTCCTCTGCCCCCCGAACATTATCGCGGTGTCCCTTGAGAAGGCCTCAGAAGAGCACCCATTCATTTAGCTTTGTAATGTCTAAGACAGCTGGGCAGATCTGAGGACTCTGGTGATATGTCTTGTATTTAAAGAATAAAAACATAGCTTGACTTTGTTCTTGCCATGATGCCAGAAAAGTGTACCTGTCAGTTTATCGGTGACAGGTACACTTCTTTTTTTTTTTCTTTGTTTTCAAAGAGAAGTGTGCAAGTATGTTTTCTCAGGCAGCCTACACTTTTGTGTTTCAGAATCACAATCGCAGATTCCCATTAGCAAACGTACCATTCTG